TCTTGCCAGTGTGTCATGCACGCAGGCAAGCCCACACACCTTCTTATATATTGTGTGCATTGTGATATACACATTTAAAAATTTAATCCAATTTTGAAGTATCCAAAAGTATAAATAAGCGGCCCAGGCGAGTGTGTAGCCAACCACCTCGAGGAGTAAGATGACCGTGTTGTCAATGACTGCTCTACTGTTAATGACTGACTGTGTTCTACTGTCAATGAGAGTGTTCTACTGGTCAACAGCTACCATTGTCTCCGACGATGAGGGCGGAGGACAGGGCTACCGGATCAGGGGATCAGGGCAGAAGGGAAGAGGGCGCTGGTTCACATATGCAGGGAGGGGGTGTTATACCTGTGACCACTTTCAAGAATTCAACTTTTTTAAGCATAGCCTGAAGTCATACTTCTGCCTGGTCAATCAGGTTGTTACTGCCAGTGTCCTATATTCCTACGTAGCCCTGGTTAATTCAGCACTTATATCAGGAACTGCTTCAGTTTTCTCTCGAAGATTTTTTTACCTGTGTCTCAGCAATATTTCCAATACCTGATGGAAAACATTTGAAAGTCATACAGTTCTCTCTAGGTGTTCCTGGCAACCCTGCTTTTTCACTGGGTTTATTTAACACTTCCTCTAGAAATTTTTACTCCCGTAATTTATGTTAATGTATAGATTAGGAATTGGTCTTCAAATACTCTCCATGTATAGACTATGAGGTATCGTGTGTTCGTTCCAAAATGAACATTCCTTGTGGTCTAACATGTTTTATTGATTTTCTGCGGGTAGCAAATGATCTCTCTATATTTCCTAGCTTGGATATCTGGCTTTTATGAGAACAACACATGCTAGACAAATGAACACAAGTGTTTTTCAACAGTATTACCACTGGCGTGGCCCTTCTATTTTTTCTAAGTTAGCATAATTCAACATACCATTTCCTTCGTCTCGACTTCTCAAAAAAGTTACGTAGTCTGATATTCTTATTTGTGGCTGTTTTATATCCTGTGATCACTTTAAATTCATTCTTTACTCTCGACGCAGATCATCATTTTTTAAGTGCCCAATGAAACATTTTTACGAGGCTCTAATTTCTCGACTACTGTCCACAGGTGTATGTGGTACATTATACAAAAAAAATACGAAATAACGTTTATATAGGAGTGCATATCAACCATGTTGGATGGCATTAATAGTGAACATTTGTGTATTCACCTGTGATACCTTCGATGAGTTCCGAGTGTTTTTCTACTCCCGAGGCTTGGCCATGGGCCAGGCTCGTCCGGTGCTTGCCTGGTCAACCAGACTGTTGCTGGTCCGCTGTCCCACATACCCAACACAGCCTGTCTGACATGGCACCTGGTGAAGATACTTGTCCAGTTTCCTCTTGAAGACTTCTACATTTGTCCCAGCAGTGTTTCTGATAACTTCTGGTTAGATGTTGAATAATCTGAGACCATAAATGTTGATATAGTGTTCCCTTATTGTGCTCACTGCACCCCTGCTTTTCACTCTGTTTATCTTGCACTTCCTCCCATATCTCGCGCTCAGGTATGTTGTTATGGCAGTGGGACAAGGCCCTCAAGCACCTTCCAGGTACTATATATTATCATTCTCTCTCTCTCTCTCTCTCTCTCTCTCTCTCCTTCATTCCAGTAAATTAAATGCTTCACTGGCTCTATGCGGGCCGTAAACCATCTCTATTTGCTCCAGCTCTGATGTTTCTTCTGCCTTGAATGGGGTCGTCAATAATGAGCAATATTCCAAACGAGGGAGCACGAGCGATTTAAAAAGTGTCCCCACTTGCACTATTTCCCTTAATACCCACCCCGTCATCCTCCTGACTATCGTGACCTTTATTTTATGTTCTTTGAGAGAAAGGTCAGCGGACATAATTATTCCCGAGTATTTCACGTGTTCCTATCGTTCTATTTGACAATCTTCTTGACTTCTGTATAGTGTTACTTTTGAGTTCTTCATTTTTTTCCATACCTAAGCAGCTGGAACTTAACATACAATTTTCTGGCATCCTATCATAATTACACTGGTATTAATTTCTCTGGTACTCTAATACAATACAGACAATTTCTTGACTGGTATTAATTGTTTGGTATCAAGAAACTGCATCAGTATTTCTTCACAATAGAAATAATTGCCTAAGACGTTCGTGCGCGACTACTGGACAGAGGTTGAATATGAGTGGTATGGGCCGGGAGTAGCAGAGGGCAGGGGTAGGTCAGGCCATATAGGACCCCACATACCTGAAGGATAACTCAGCCTTCCTGGAAGGTGTTACAAGGTCACCTCAGAACTTCGCCCGCTGGGCTATTACTTTCCCTTTTCAGGAAATCTACGCCCACACCAACACCAACACCACAGCCAGGCTCAACCTTACCCGACACCCTTACTCCATCCATCTCTCTGCATCACACCGCCCCCAGCTACCCTTCACCCCATCTCTCGTCCAAACATTCATCTCACCTAAGCCTACCATTCACCATATTTTCAGCTCATGATTTCTCTACATCCCCGCCCATCCTTTACCTAACTCATGGGCAGACCCTTGCCCCGATCCTGGGCGACTTCTTCATTGCCCTGCTGAAGTTGTCTAGCTCAGGTTGACGGATTTCATTACTTCATGTAAGAAACTGGTCCTGTGTGACAGACTGTGACAGGGAAATATAACAAGCTTTTCGTTCCACAATGCAAATATCATATAGAGTAAGGCAGCAACACTGCTAAAAGATCCAGTTTTGTCAAAACACTAGTTCAGAGCCAATCCCCTCTTTCTAGCTCATCCCCTCTGGTCCACCCAACACCCGACCACCCACAAGACCACCTGAACATTTTCATCCCTATAAACATGTGTGGTAAAAGAACATTAATTAGGTTGTAAATATAACTACACCTCAAGTATCCTAAATTTTATAATTATTTACCTCATATGTGATAATGTTCAATTCTGAATGTTCATTGTAATTAAATAAGGAAATAAACAGTTTGTCTCACTTGAGTGTAAACGACGCCCAAGCCTTTTATGGATCTCTCGACACACTAATCCTCTGAACTGAGTAAATCTTTAATCCACTCAGAACCGAGTATAAATCTGTGTTGAGAGTAACTGGAGCCCTGACACTGCATGGTGGTACAACCTTCACAGTAATGGCAGCACAATTCACCTGGGCACAGCTACGACCTCCATCTTGGCTACGATACCATTCTTCTGCCCGCCTTATTCATATTTACATCCAGTGGCCTCAGTGGAAGAATCATCATAAATTCTACTTGACCGACATGAGCAACGACAGTGATCCTAGCCACTAGAAGCGTATGTTTCTTCACATGATCCTCAAAATGGTGTTACTGAATAAACGCTTATTGTAGTTAGATAACCAACGTTGTCAGTTATTTTGACAGATCTGTAAGGGTTCAGGAACGGGTATCATATACCCAGATAGACTTCTTGCTCTCAGAGTAGTCAACGGGGTTGTAAAGCAAACAATAATAGACTCAGTTGTATTTTCAGATTCAATGTTTGTCTTCCTGAAGTTTTAACTCGAGAAATATTAATATTTTAGAGGGTATAAAAACAAATATAAAAATAATAGAAAATGACAAAAGGCTAGTAAAGATTTTATGGAAACCATTTCATGTTAACATGGCAGTCATGAGAGACCTAGCAAGTCACATGAATAAGAACAAAGTTTATAGATACGTGGTGGTAGATTGTAAGGAAAATTCAAATGAAAAATCTAAAGAATGAATTTCGCCAGTGAAAGGTACCTTAAGAATCAGTTTATGCATCATTACTAAAGGAGTGCATTTCCATTAGATGGAACGTATGTACATACGTATGTGTCTGGACAGGAGGGGGGTTTAATAAATGGAGGAAACAGAAGAGAAAAGACAGTGGTGGTGAGGATACCTCTAGGTTGCTTGATTACGTTGACAGGTTGTTGCAGCAACTCTTGGAGAGGAAGAACAGGACGCAGTGTGTGGAGAGCAGACACACACACTTTCCGGACATTTATGACAATTTTGCATAATTCAGGAGTTTAGAAACATTAGTAATATTTACGAACAGACATTATACACTGATAATTTTAAGAGGTAGTGATACCTGATATGCTGCAACAGCCAAGGAAGAAGCTGTTTTTGATAATGCCTTATTAACTATTTACTCAAATATTTCTTATAAGGCGGTATTATTAACTAACAGAATGACTGATATTGCTCAATACTGACACTGCCAAATATTGTCTTCATGGTATGTTTACTCACCGGAGAAATGACACTGTCTAATACTGTTTTTATGACGGTACGTTCACTTGAACCAATGGCCGAGAAGCTCTGTCACGTAAACTCGCCCTCGGAACAAACATCTATAATATTTACACGTCTGATTCTTATGTGCATTTCCCGCAGAATTTACTCCACGAAGACCATACCTGTGTAGACTAGGGTGCTCCTCGCAGTGTCAGGATTTAGCAGCTGTAACAGTTCCTCTTGAGGTGGTTCATTTTTACCTTGTGTGAACCACAGCTAGACCTTTTCACATAAATGATTTAAAAACAAGATTTAAGAAAGGAATCACCAAGGCCCATCGGAGCTTACCAAACACAAAGGCCAGGATCATACACTACCTACACAGTCCATGTT